ACACACACACACACACACACGCACGCACCCACGCACACGCACACATTCACACAGGAACACATGCACGTACTTCAGACTGCCAATAACATTTATTTAGTTGTACCGGCGTGGGCTGTTTCCTGTAGCGCGCTGAAGACGGGATTTCATTTATATTTTTGTAAGGTTTTACGGCGCTCACAGCTGCTTAATGTCATTTGAGCGCCAAGGGGTGGATGTCAACAGAGAAGTCCAAACGGGGAATCAGGCTAACTCTGCTCACTTTTCTAACCTCAACAGCACAACGTCTGCTTCGACTATCAAGGCACCCCGGAAATAGCAGTTCATAAGAGAGTGACAAACATACAAAAGAAATAGAGGAAAACTGACGATAGTAAGGATGAGGAAAGACAAAGCATCAGTTCCCCCTATGTTGTTCCGGCACACTATGAGCATGACATTGATAAATCAGCCCATTTACAACTCTGCTGTGCATAAAAAGGAAGTTCGATTACCGTGCGGGGAAGGTATTCTATCGTGGGTCCCCATAAATTATCGGTTGGGTTGCTGTATCTCACCCAAACCGGATTGTTCCTGTCAGTAGGCAGGGTTCGAAGTAGCCCGCCTCCTAAATGATTTGAATAAAATCAATGAGATGTACCGATGATGTAGTACATTTGCAATTAATTTCCCTCACTCCCTCACCGTTGACTTGGGGGTGGGGGGGGGGGGAGTCTTAGCGCAGAAGATGTCGAGATTTTCCTCTCAGGCCCTCTGTCGGTCTGTCGAGAAGTTTTTTTTGTCGACACAAAGTCTATTGCTATCAATAATTTACAATGTAACTAAACGGGGTATGTGGTTCGTTTTTTTTCACCTGGTTATTTATGTTTGTCTCTTTTCATATCGGATTCTAATTTATGTACTTCCTTGCATATTATTTGTAGTTTTGTGTTAACATTAATGTTTACGCTTATTTATGTATATCGTAACTACATGTAAACTAGTCAACAAAAATTAAGGAACATTTGAGAAAAAGTGTATAACTTCGAAAGCAAACTTCAACACGCAATGAAATTTGGTATACATTTTAATCAACATGTGTATAGCAAGTACCAAAAAAGAAAATTAAGTTATTCCATTTTGACTTGCTTGAAAAGTTAATTGACTTTGGTAGGGGTTAAAATCCCA